GCCAAAAAATAACCAAACACCCACACCTCAAAACGGCTCTTACAAGGTTTCTGAATACAAGTTCTAGAAGCATTACAACACATTCATAAATCAGAAAAACACCTCAGACCATTAAGTTTTAAGAGACAATTAAAGAATCAAATTCAAAAGAGTACTAATGATAAACAGCACACAAACAATACTCAAAATTCTCTTGTGGCATGCTGCTTTGACAATTTTAACATTAATACACCAAGTTGAAAAATTAGTCTGAGCCTCTCCAGGCAAACACCTTTCGTAAGGCCTTTATCCCAAAGAATACTCATCCCTGAACATTGCATTAAAAAGCACATTTTTAATGAGTTAATGGGGGTCTATTGCAAGATGTTACACAACTGAAAAAACTGACACGCTAATGTGCCCAGTGCCCCTCCATCAAATCTGACAAGTCAGCAAAAGCCTAGCTAAGCACAGGCGACATTTACATAACCACTAACAATAAGGTCATGTACAAAAGTAACTAGATAACTTCCCAGGGAGAACTCATTTACAACACCAGGACACAGTCCTTCAGCCCTGCTTCACGCAGATGTTTTGGTTAATACAACCAGACTGACGCAAAAACTGCACTCTTGGGCACTAAGCTCACCAAATTCACATGCACTTTTCTCAGTGAGACAACTAAACAATGAAAGCAACATCCACAAAAAAATTATCCTCACACTGTCTACCTGGATGTTTTTAAACTAGCTTTGCTATACCTGGTAGACAGGAAGAAGCAGCCTCTTCCTGCTACACAAAATTAAATTTATCTCCAATAGCTAGATGCATGGTTTAATTTACATTTAAAGGTAGACATGCTTTTAAGTCACCTTCAACACAGTTTTGAAGGGAAGACATAAGTTTTTGAGGTATAAGTTACAGAGGAAAAATGAATTCTCGATAAAGCCCACTTCAATATCGTTTTGAAAACAGTTCAGAACACAGGTCTGATCTGTGTATACTCCGATCAGGTGCAAAAGTCTAAGCACTTACAGGTTCAAGAAAACAAAATGTAAATTTTAAAATCAGACTACTCAGATCTCAGTTAATAGTTCAGGCACCTTTGTTTACAGTCTGCCAAAAGAATACAACTGAAGTACCTCATTAATTTCAATCTGTCAGCACACTACTGAGGAGTTTGAAATGTCCAATTCATTTTTTAAAAACAGTGCAAGAAAACAGGTACAACCTATGCACTGTCTGCAAAGGGGAGCATTAAAATATACAAGCTGTCAGGAAAAAAAAAAAAAATCTAGGTTAACATCATAAAAGTTAGTATCTCAAAAGCTTAAGAAAAAAAAAAAAATCAGGTCACATTTGATGGTGCAAACAATTAAAGGAAATACAGCCTATTCCACATTCAGGAAAAGCCCTCTCTTCCCACAGGTTTGCACCAGTCTGATAAAAACAATTCAGCTTCCTAGTTATTATGATGTGCTCTTTAAACATCCTTGTTAATCCACAGAAGCCTTATTTACACGTAAGTTTAAAGCACACATATGGAAAAGTAACTGTAAGCTAAACAAAAATTTAACTTTCACATTTTATGAAAGTAGTTCTTAAAAAAAAAAAAGGTTTCCTCAATACACTTCTTACATTTATGCTAACCTTTAAAACCAAAATGCTGCAAGACAGAGACCATCTAGTAAGTTATGCACTAAAATTTTCAAAGATCAAAAAGTAGGATAGAGTGCAGAAAGGAAAACAAGCTTTGAATAATACACAAAGCATAGAAATGCTCCCTGCCCACCCCAAAAAAAAGCAGATGTACATTCAGTAGCCTAAGCAGATTAGATGTACTGTTCACCTTAACCCACAGGTCTCTTTCTATCTCTTACTGCATACAATTACAAGAAGTATCCACAGCACAAGCCCATTTGAGTTCTGTTTTTAAATACTGGAATGCAACAATAAATAAATAATAATTAAGAAAAAAACTACCCTAGCATTCCAGTAGGGAAAGCAATCCCACCTTTTATTTGTTTGAATTCTTAGGGTTGTGACTTTATTTCTTCATTTTGATCGGCACACAAAATAAAAGACAATGGCTGATCATAATATTATTCTTCTCAAGCATAAACAAAGCCTTCAGGAAAATGGTTGTATTATAACTTTAAAAAAAAACAAAAACCCACCTATCTAAAGCACACAACAGCAAACTAGAAGAAGCAAATCAAATTACAGGGTGGAGGGGACAAAGAGGGAATGTGAACCCTGCAACTTTATTTTTAGACTATATACACCTATATATACATGCACTTGCCCCAAATACTCAGTATTCTCAAGGGTGCCAGGAAACAACTGATGAAACCACAAAATAATACACTTTTCAATAAGCACATTAAATCCTGCAGACCTTTCCAGCAAACCTGTAGTTCGCTATTACTAAACCCTTCTGCTGGAGGACGTCAGTGGAGCATAGAGTTCAAGATATTTAACACAGCCCCCCACCAGTAACCAGGATAGGTGTTTTACAGGGAAAGAGTTGGAACAATTTCTCAGCTGTTCACTGCTACTGCCTATTCCACCAATGGAATACTGCCTGTAAGCAGACAATACGTGGAGGCCCATGCAAATACAGATACCTGCACAAATCCACAAGCATTTTGTCATTCTTTGGCGTCTTCTAACAGATTTGATAATTTTACTACCCGAGTCAATAGTGGTGCTCGAGAACTCAGGCCTCAGAAAAAAAAATAACTGGCGCCCCTTAGTGTTCAAATTCTGAAGTCTTGAAGCAATTTACTAGATTTGCATGAAACTTTTTTTTTCAACATTCCAAAAAGTTTTCTGCCTCCACAATACTTCCACCCAATTGCCAACGTAAACAGGAAAAGCAGAAAAGCTTAAAGGGATAGCAGGCTTCTTCTAGAGACCCTTCAGGAACACAGACTGCATTTTATTTGCTTTTCTTTTGAAGAAGAGACTGAAGAACAGTTCCAACACAGTCCATAAACTTTCTCAGCAAGTCTCGAGAGCCATCGTTTTGGAACTCCAATACTTCGAAAACAGACTTCCAGAGTTTTGAATATTTCAAAATATATGACAAGCTATAAGTATTTCAGGAATTCCTTTTTCAGTGTCCTTTTCGCATCGGAAAATGTTTTTCTTCCTTTTGTTCTCTGAAAATAAAAAAACAGCTTCAGGCCTCCTCTGGCCAAATACATAAAGTTGAGGAGATTCAGGAATTTAAAAATCCGTTATCAAGCTTCTGGAAGGCTCATTTGTGCTATGAAGGAATCTTCTCGGTGAAGTTTCTCCTTGATGTTTAATGTAAATCTAACTATTCTGAAGAGGGTGTTCACTGTGGTGACCAAGAGCACAAGTTCTAAATAGTTTTGCTTTTCACGTCCACATTTGCTCCAATATAAATTCAAACTCCTCCAAGTTTCTTGAAAATAAAAATAGACTCTCCCATTATAATGCTTCCCACAATCCATACTTCAGTACGTTTGGGTTTTTTTAAACTCCTCTATCACTTATTTCAGAAGGTAGCATTTTCTCGACACGCTATTTTTGTGCCGTACTACAGTCGCTATCTCATTTTTACAGTCTTGGCAGAGGGCGGGGAGTTGTTCTACCAAATATAACCAGTTCTTTCATCTTCCGAGGTCAACAACTTCCCAAACTTCTTCCAGCGAGGAGGAATACATCCGCAAACAAAAACCCTAACTCAAAATCTCGAAAATCAGTACTGCATACCAAGAATCCCAACAAGTTGCAACTGTATAAATAATTTATGGTCATATCATATTTCTACAAAGCTATCAAATACGATTAAACAAACTGGTCTAACTCTCCTGAAAGCCTAGCTTTAAAGTCATAGGAAAGGAAATGCCTTTGACAAGAAAAACAAATCTGTGAACCCAGGTACAAGGCGAATTTAAAATACCAAGAACAAGTGTTTCACCTAATTTTTGATACCCAGTGGGTCTGTTACTGTAGTGGGAAAACGTTTGGGACACAGGAAGTTCCCACCTCGCACTTTTTTCTTTTTAATTTCTAAAGCGTGATTACTTATTTTTGAAAGCTTAACCTTAAAAAAAGTTACTAGGAGAACAATTGGGGGTATCGGGGGGAAGCTCGCCCCGTGCCAGGAGCGGGTGCGGGGCTAGGGTGGACGTTCGGCAGGAGCAGACCAGGCAATTTCGTAATCCTTTTTGCTTCTCCCCCTTCACTAAAGTCACACGTAGGAGTCCTTCAAGTTCAGTTTCTTTAAAAGGTAAGGAGAGCTGAGAGAAGAATTTGCTCGCTTCCCCTTGCGATATAGGAAAATCGTAATTAGTTTGTGGCTAGTTCGGGGTGGGGTAGGATCTGGAGCTGAAGAAAGAGCTCAGCCCCCCTCTGCCTTAGTCATTCAAGCTCAAGCAGCTTCCAGAACAGGCAAATCTCGAAACCAAACACCCCCCGCCCCCCCGGCGGGGGCCCCGGGGCCGGGCGGCGGAGCGCTCCGGGGGCGCCGGCAGGACCCCTGCGTCCCCCGCCGCCGCGGGAGGGAGGGATGGAGGGAGGGGAGCGCCAGCCGCCAGCCAGCCTTTCCCCTCCTCCCTGCCTTCCCCCAGAGCGCATTCCTGAGCTCCTCTCCTCGCTCCCTCCCCTCCGTGCTGTAGTTACCCTTCCCCCGGATTAAGGAGATAGTGCGGAAAAGAGTAAAAAGAAAAAAAGGAAAAAATAAGGGGGGAAACCCTCCGGGGGGCACGGGGACCCGCGCGGCCAGGGCTGCCTCTCCCCTCCCACTAGCTCCCCGAGTCCCCCGGCACCGCGCGCCAGGGCGGGGAGAGCCCGCACTTCCCCTTTGTTTTCGGCTCCCCAGCCGGGGCCGGGAGCGTGCGGGGAGCAGCGGGGAGAGCGGAACAGGCCCCGGCCCGCCCCCGCCGCCCGGCCGGGCCGGGGCGGGGGGCCGAGCGGGATCCCCGGGCCGGGTGAGGCAGGGCAGGGCAGCGGAGCGGGGGAGGGGGCGGCCGGGCGAGCGCTTTTACCTTCGTCCAGCAGCCTCTCGAGGTGGTTGAAGATCCCGCAGAAGTTGGGGAGGCTGCTCATCAGCTTCTTGTCGTTCATCAGCTGCATCAGGTAATCGGGGCTCGGCTTCGGCTTCTCCTTGGTTTCCATTTCCCCAACCATATTCCAAGCCCGCGCAGAGACGGCGAGCGCCCGCAGCAGCTCTGCCGAGCAACGCGACCGCGGCACGGGGCGCCCGGCTGGATCCGGGCGGGCAGGGAGGCAGTGGGGGAGGGGAGGGGGCGGGGAGGGGAGCTTCCCCGAGGAAGGAGGAGAAGGAGGAGGATTCAAATCCGGAGACAAACGCAGACCCGCC